TAGAGCTGTCGGTGGACTCTCGCGTGGGTGCCCAGGCGTGGTAGTCTGTTTGTCCCTGTGGGTGTGGGCACTGACGGAAATCTGTTCCAGGTAACCGTTGTCCTCGGGGCCTCCCAGGACATCATCCCCCAGCTGAAGAAGAAATATGACGTGGACACGCTGGACGTGGTCTTCCTCGACCACTGGAAGGACCGGTACCTGCCGGACACGCTCCTCCTGGAGGTGAGCCTCGACCCGCCTGGCTGGGATGGGCCTGGGTGCTGGCTGCTGGTGCAGGGGCAGCCGTGTCGGCGGGTCGCGGCCACTCTGAGGAGCCAGGCACCCTAGCCAAGGAGGCCCACCGTGGGCAGAGGGTGTGGCCCTGGAGCTCGGGCACTGAGGGCAGAGCCAGGCTCCACCGCCGCTGGGCCTGCCGGGAGCGGGAGGATCTCAGCAGCTCTGGTGAGCAGTGGTGACGGGGCCTCGCTCCTGGGGAAGCAGCACGGAGGGCCCTTAGTGACGGGAAGCCGGCAGTTCTCTCGGGGCTGCTGGCTCGAAGCTGGGGGTCAGCCCAAAGAGGAGGGGCCCTGGATTGGGAATGGCGGCGCTTTGAAACATGTCCTGCTGCCCTGCAGCTGGGGCTCTGCAGGCCCCTGGCCTGTGCGGGGTTGGGGCAGCCCGGCTCTGCAGCGGCCCAGCCTCCCCCCTCCTCAGTCAGGAATAAAGGGCTTGCGGGCTGGCGGGGGCAGGTGGCAATGCACAGTCCGATGGCTGCTGTGAGGGGCCTCAGCCCCTTGTCACAAGGCGTACCCACAGGGCTGCTTGAGTGTCCTCACAACATGGCAGCTGGCTGTCCCAAGAGCCTGAGTGGGAGAGCGAGAGATAGAGACAGAGACAGAGAGACAGAAGGAGCAAGGAGGGAGCCACGGTGCCTCGTATGAGCCAGGCCCTGCGCCCCACACTGTGCTCCCGCTCTTCCCTCTGTCAGGAGCCAGTCTCTGGCGCGACCCACACCCACGGGGCGAGCATCCAGACTCCACCTCGTGAAGGAAGGAGGGTCGGGGAACTGCAGAGACATTTGAAACGCCCTTTTGTCCCACGGTGGTTTGCTCAGACGCCCTGCTCTTCGGGCCAGAATTCTCCAGCGTTCTGTGTCCTCCGTCAGGAGGCCCGTGGTGTCCCCAGGGATCCCCAGGTGGGATGGGTGCCGCCTCCTTCCCCCTTAGGTCCAGCTTCCTTGAGGATGCGCCCCGGCACCCTCCAAAGGCCACCACAGCTTCTTCCTCCGCTTGGCTCGTTCATGGTGAACTCGTGGGGTTTGAGTGTCTGATGCCTCTCACTCCTCGGACCGTCCCGTCTGTGGCCAGCGATGCCTCCTGCGTCCCTCAGCACGACCCCAGCAGGCTGGAGCCCCGCCCCCGGCGCCCCCTGGGCATTTCCTGCCCCAGCCTGAGCTGCCCGCTGGGGGCTGGGCCCGGGCTGCTCTCTCTTGGTCTGCTGGCCACCATTGTTAGGAAGTTCCTTCCTTTTCTGTTCTGAAGAGAAGCCGCTCCGGGAGTCACAGTGGTCCTTCCAACTCTGGCTCATGGGCTGTCCCACCACGCAGTCCTCACAGCTGCGTGTGCGCCTCAGGGCCGGCCAGAGGGCCCTCGGCCTCCCCTGTGGCCTGCAGGCTGGGAGTGACAGCCACCAGGAGAGCCCAGACACCCAAGACTGTCCTGGGGCGCCCCCTGGAGGGGTGCAGAGCAGAGCCCCTCGGGTTTAGGTCATTGGGATGTCTGTAGGCTGAGTCACACCTGGGGCCACATGTGGGATTTTGCTCTCAATGTCTTTCTTAACTTTTAATTTATGATTTTGTAAAAAAAGGCTCCGTTCCCCCAAAGTCGAATATAGGGGACAGGACAACAGGGGCGTCCCTTGCCTGGTCTTCCCCCCACAGGCAAACCGCTCCTCTCAAGATTTCTCTGTTCATTGTTTCCTGTGATCTAGGCAGTGCCTCCCCACGCCACTCAGAGGGACTGCCCACCCAGGTGGTCTTGGCCTGAGGCTGTGTCTAGCCACTCCTCCTTCCTTCTGAGAGCTTAGGCCCTGGAATGCCAGCTAGCTGCCCCGGGCCCAGCCACGGTGGTGAGGGGCACCTCAAATGCCGGGGCGTGGGGATGTTCACAGCGGACCCCCGAGGGACAGGCTTGTGGCTCCCGAGGTCTGCCCCTCCGCCATCCTCCGGCCCAGCAGGGTGGCCTTGGTCAGGTGGCCTAACCCTCCAGTGACAGCCTCCAGCAGTCCACACACAGGCACCAGGCATCCCTCTTACCTGGAGCAGCCATGTGTTCCTGGCACCCAGTGACCAAGGGACCCACTGGCCTTGAGGTGACATTGTGGGTGGGACCCCAGCCCCATTGTCTCCTCCGCTCATTGTCCAGGTAGCATTTTATGAGCACCTTCTGTGTGCCTGCCACATGCTGTTCTAGGGGCTGGGGATGCAGGAGGGAGCAGAGGGGATCCCTCCTCACAGAGCTGACAGTCTGGACGTTGGACTAGTGCTGGGCACAGCGCGGTCCTGCAGTGGTCACTGCCAGGGGGAGATGGAGGGCAGTGGGAGACCCTGCTGACCCCAGGAGCTAGGGTGGGGCCGACCCCAGGGCCAGGCACAAGCCTCTGTGTGGAGCCCCCACCTGCCCTCCTGGTTTGGAGCGGGCTCCCTGGTCACCCCAATCCTCATCCCCCCCAACCCCCTGTCCCCTGCAGGAGTGTGGCCTGTTACGCAAGGGGACGGTGTTGCTGGCTGACAATGTCATCGTCCCAGGAGCACCGGATTTCCTGGCCCACGTGCGCGGGAGCGGCCGCTTTGAGTGCACGCACTTCTCCTCATACCTGGAGTACTCTCTGTGGGTGGTGGATGGCGTGGAGAAGGCCGTCTACCTGGGCCCGGGCAGCCCAGCACAGCCTTGACCTCCCACCTGTGCCGGGCTCCTTTGCCCAGCCTGCTTCTGAAGGGCACTATGGCTGCCCTGCTGCCAACCCACTTCTGCAGGTTGGAGTCTGTCCTCAATGGGTGACTCGAGGCCTGTGAGGCCGCGGCCAGCCCACACTGACCCTTCTGCAAAGCGGTGCTGCGTGCTCATGCACTGCTCCTCCCCAGTGCAACTGGCTCAGCGCATAAAACCATAGCAATAAATCTGGAAAGTGTCTGCTCGTAAAGACCACATCAGGGCAGGCGGAGCTGTGACAGTGTCACTCACCCCCATGAGCATCCCTTTCTCACATGGGCAGGTCCTTGGGCAGTAGACACAGGACGCCGGGGGAAGTTGGGGACATGTGGAAACTCACACAGTCTGCCCTCGAGGTTTGCCATCACCAGGTGGCAGCAATGCCTCAGTGACGGCACTGGGACCAGCAACTCACACCACCCTTCTGGCTCCCGAGCTCTGTCACCTCCTTTTTAAGCATGAGGTGCGGCCTCTTCAGTGAGGTCGGCTGTTAGCCATCTTCCATGCCAGTGTCGGGCTTAAACGATACTAAAATGGAAACTGAAGAGTGACTACTCCGATAGGAGAGGCCGCCCTAGTGCTGCCTCCCACCGTGGTGCTGCTCCTTCCGTCCTCGGCGCCCTGAGCTTTGGCACCAGACACGGGCTGCCCCCTGGACTGGGTGTGAATGCTGCGGGCGGTCCCAGGGGCCCCAGCCCCAGCACTGCTCTTCTTGCAGTCAGGCCCAGGGCGCCTGTCACATCCCCAGGATGTCTGCAGGCTGGGCGGAGTCCCCACCTGGAGGCTGTCCGGCCTAGGACCCCGGAACAGGGCCGCTGGCAGCCCTCACAACCAGCTCTGAGCAGGCAGGCGCAGGGGAAGGTGGCCCTGGCCCTGCAGCAGCGCCAGGCGTGGTCTCTCCGGCCCCTCGGGGCCCCGGGGTGACCCTGAGTGGACGCATCTTCGCCAGTCCGGCTCGGCCTTGTTCATGGGAGAGAGTGGGCTCAGACCACCCCCGGCACTTCTGCAGGCTGCCCAGCTGGCGAGTGAGGAGGGAGAGGTGGTGTGCGTCCCCCCGACTCCAGAGCCAACCGCAGCCCGACCCTGGTCCTTCAGCTCCAAGGCCCCCAGTGGTTCGACCTCTGAGAATCCCCAGGGAGCCCCTGGGTCCCATCTGAACCCACCAGAGCCCAGGCCGGCCTCCGGCCAGGACTATACCCTAGGGTCCAGGGCCCGCTAACCACCCAGGAGCAGGCCCGCTCCCCTTTGTGTGTAGAAAGGGGATCGCAGCGAGCCTGGGGGTCGCAGTGGGGAAACGTCCACGGACCTGGTCGCTGAGCAGCCCCTGACACAGCAGAGGGACACCTGGGGCCTCTGCCACCCACCGCCCACCAGGCAAGCAGGGAGGAGGGAGCCGCTCGCAGCGAGAGATCTGAGGCACAAAGACAGCCAGTTCCTTAAGAGTTTTTTAATTTTTAAGTTTTCTTACAAAAATTTAGGTGTTTACCAATACGGTCTTATTTTGGTCTTGTTTTTAATGCTTATTTCCGTGGTTCTCTTCTGACTTCAGTCACAGACAGCAGGCACTGAACAGCAGCCCCCACTGCTCGGAAGCCAGGTCCTGGAGGCGCCGCCCGGGGCTCCCGCCTATGCGCAGCTCGGCAGGGCCTCCCTGGCACTGGGGTCCAGGCATCACGGGTTGGTGGGCAGGGGGCAGCAAGCCTGCCGCCCATCTCATGGCCTCCAGAGGTCCTGCTCAGCCGGCCCCCAGGGCATGCCACACCCCCAGGCGGCCTGTATGCAGGGTGGCACTCACAGGGTGGCACTGGGAGCCCAGGGCACACCCTGCCCCTTGGCCGCTCCGCCCATGCGGAGGCACACTCTCCAATCCCACTGGCCCGAAGCCAAGCCAGGCGCCCTCTGCTGCCACCTCCTGGCCTTCTCTCTGCCCCACTCCCTCTGTCTCATGCACAGCACCGAGTCAGTAAAGCGCTAACCGGCCTAGGGGCTCGGAGCGAGGGAGCCAGGGGGCGCAAGCGGGTGTGTCCAGAGTGTTGGCCCTAGCTCTTGTCACCTGTGGCCATCAGGCGGCTCCCAGCTCCAGGCAGGGTCTGCGCAGGCCGGCCCGAGTTCCCTTCTTTCGTGATCAGGCCTAAGAACAGAAGGCCGGCCAGGCCCTGAGGAGGGAGAGGGGCAGGCTGAGCAGGGCGGCCAGGCATGCAAGCTAGACCCAGGAGTCGACTGGCTGAGCCCTGGCCGGCTCTGGGAAGCGCATCTTGCAGGGTTGGGCGCCAATTCTCCATGTATCCCTGCACCCAGCCCTTGCACCGGAACCCTGGCGACACCCGGTGCCGTGGTGACGTGACTATTGTCCTGGTTTGGTCGGTGTCCCTTGGTGGCTCCAGGAGGATAAGCTGCAGATGTCCCCTCCCCTAGGGCACCGGCAGAGTGGCGGCATGCAGGGCCTGCTCAGGGCCCAGGGTGCCCTGGCGCCCCCTCATTGATTCTCTGCGTGGGCCTGTCCTGAGCACCTGCTGTGTGGCCGCTAGGGTCTTGGGCGGGCGGTGGTCCGCTCTGCCCAGGGGCGTGCACACGAGATGGTGCCTGGTAACCTCGGGAGCGGAGCCACCACCATCGGCAGTACACAGCTAAGACTGGGCTGCACCGGGGCGAGCACAGGTCACTCCACCCAGCAGCACACCCCAGGGGACCCCCGCGCCACAGCGCTGCCGGGGTCGCGCCCTCCAAGCCCCGCCCCGCGCCCCGCCCGCCGTGGCCCGAGTCCGCCACCGGAAGCGCGCGCCGGGCTACCCGCCCCGCTGCCTGCACCGCGACGGCGCCGGGCGAGGTGAGTGCGCCGGGCATTCCGCGGAGCTGGACTGGGGGCGGCCGGACCTGGGCGGGGGTCTGCACCTGGGGTGAAGGATTCGGAAGAGCGTGGGGGTTCGAACCGGGTGAAGGGATCTGACCTGGGGCAGGAGGTCCGACCTGGCGCGGGGGTCCGGCTGGCGAGTGGGGAATTTGGAAGGAGGAGAGAGGACCCGCCCTGGGGCGGGGTTCTGCGGACCTGAGGCGGAGGATCTGATCTAGGGCGGGGGCTGGGGGATCTGCCCCTGGCTAAGGAGCTCCGATGGGGCTGGGCATTGGCCTGGGGGGAGCGTCCGACCTGGGGCGGGGGTCTCTGGACAGGAGGCGGCGCGCCAGACTGGATCGAGGGAGTCGGAGGCCTGTGCTCGAGTGGGAAGATCCGACCTGGGAATAGGGGTCAAGACAGGGTGGGGGATCCGGGGTCCCATGGGGATCCAGAGCCTGACATCGGGGGTCTGTCCTTGGGGAGGGCTCTGACCTGGTGGCCGACCCGGTGGCAGAGGCAGGGCCTGGCTCACACTTGGGAGGGTCACATTGGTCTTCTGCTGGGATCAGCCCCTGGAGAGTGGGCGAACTGTGGGACCGGCCGAAGGGGCTGAGTAATCTCCCGAACAGGTTCCCTCTTGGAGGCCTTGGGGTACCCCCAGGCCTTTCCTTTCGGGGCAACGGCTGCCCCACCAGGAAGGGGATGCCCGGAGCCCAAGACCCCACGGGACTGGGTCTGAGTGGTGTGGTCTCAGGCCCAGGGGAGAATGTAGACAAAGGGGAAGTCCCCCAGGCCTGACCTGCTGCCGGGCCAGCCTTTCAGGTTTTTCCTGCCAGGGAGTTCTGGGTCCTTTGCCTGAGCTGGAGCTGCCCTGAGTGGCTGCCCTGGAGGGGTTGGGAGGAGCACTGTGGGGCCTGAGAAGATGGGCTGTGGATGAGCTGAGTGGTGACAGATCCTATTCAGTAACTGCTGGCAGTAGGGAGGGGCTGAGCGCCCTTCTGTTGGCTCAGAGGCTCTGGGCCTGGTAAAGGGAGGATGAGGGAGCAGGGAGGGGGATGGTGGGGGCTTGAGAGACGCAGGGAAGTGAAGAATTGCAAAAAGCAGAAATGGGGGTTTGGTCCGTTTGACACCTGCCTGGGTTTGCTGACTGGGCTTCTGGAAGTGAGGCTCCTCTCCTCCCACAGAGGCGGGAGCCCGGGTCCTGTCCTCAGATTTTGGCGGGAGCAGTCGCTTCTTTTGTCAGCCTTGGGTTTTCTCAGGCAGGCACCTTAAGGGGACAGAGGTCATCCCAGGGGGCTGGCCTTGAGCTGCTGGACACTATGCTAGCGTTGTTCGAGTCTTTGTTAGCCAAGGTTGAGGCCTAGTCAAGAAGAATGCTCCGGGGAGCCTGGTTAGGGTCTGTCTGGTCAAGGAGAGATCTTGGTCAGGTCCCCTCTTGTTTGATTAAAATCGAATTTGTCATTTCTACAATCATAAACGTGTAATAGATATAATATTAGCTCATTTGGCTAGTATACAAAGTAGAATAAAAATTTAGATTTGCGTCATCCTAGTTAATGTTGACAACTCTGAAGATCTGCCTGTTTTATTAAACCAACAATATTAAGCTAGTCTTATTGACTAAAGGTTGACCCACATTATGCGAACTTGAAAAACACGTGAGTTGGTTCCGATATTTCTGGGAGTTTCAGGAAGACAGTTTATATAAGCGCTTACTCCTCTCTAAGCCGGTGAGGGTAGAAGTCCTTGAAGGGGTTTTATAAATTTATTTGGTAGCACCATCTGGAGGTAGGGCAATATCATATATGTGACACACACGCATAATAAACACACAGACAGACACAGCTAGAGGTCTGATGGTTTTCATTGAAACATTGTAGCCATGTGTCACACACAAATAGTAATATGTTAAGCTTGCTGGTTTATGAGATTCGGACCGTGTCTTTGCTCTGTGTTACGTTCCTGTTTGAACTGTTTCTGTTCAGTATGAGGGCTTCAAGCTCTCCACTGGTAACCGCGGAGGACACCTTGAAGAGCTTTCTGCTCTGATACATAATCTCATGGTGGCGTGGACTAAATAAATATCTTTCCCCAATTCGGTTCTTTTCTTTTTCAGCCTCAGGCGGTTGCTTTGGGTGGTCCCTGAAACCTTTGAGAGCCCCCGATGGGGTAGGAGCCCAAGGTTCTAGTGACTGTGGGAGCTGAAGAGCTGCGGGGACAGGAAGGTCTGGCAGGGTGGCCAGAGGGGTGGAGGAGGTAGCATCTGGAGGGGGACAAATCGGAGGATGCAGGGGCTCTGGAGGGAGGCCCGGAGGTGGTAAAGGAGGAAGGAGGAGCAGAGGTGCTGGAAGGAAACATCTCAGGAGCCAGTGTGGGGAGAGCTTCAGTTTCCCAAAGAGCCGCTGAAGTTCCAAGTTATCCTTAGTAGAGTCATGCCGACCAGAAAGGAGGGGCAGAGTTAGCACCATGGTGGCACCTCATCAGCGGGGGTGCCAAGGGGGTTCCAGCCGGCTGAGAAGCTCCCGTGGGAGGCGCAGGATCAACGGGAGAGAAGGAGCCTCCCAGGAACCAGGAAGGACTTCCAGCCCCGGAGGCTCCTGCAGCAGCAGCCTGGCCCCTCCCCCAGCCTCAGAGGCACCATCTACCCTCCCTGCGCTCCAGCACACGTTTACCTGGAGCAGTGGACCCAGAGTCGGAACCGCCACCAGATGCCCAAAGGAGCAGCAGACAGACAGGAAACAAAGGTCTCCGAGGGCGCCGCCATCCAGCCTTGGAGGAGTGACACGAGGCGGTCACGGCCAGGTCACCTGCAGGGGCAGGGCTGGGACCTGGAGCTCTTGGGGCTTTGCTCCCAGTGCCCGTGAGCTGACTGAACCTTCCCAGTTCCCAGGCTCTTGGGCTCTGTCCTGCAGGGGAGCATCCCTCCCTGGAAGCTCACCGTTCTGCACCCGTCCTTTGTGTCCTCCCACAGGGATCCTGGCAGCCTACCGCTTTTGCCCCACAGTGTTCCTTCCGGGCGCTCTGAGGCCTGCCTTCTGCTTGGAGCCCAGACAGCAGCCCTGCTCCTAGCTCACGAGCCCAGTGACGTGAAGGGGCTGGCCCTACAGTAGGGGTCCTCCAAGGAGCAGGTGCCAGGCTCAGATGCGCGTGGGGGAGCGGGGATGCTCCGCTCCTCCAGTTCTTTCTCAGGGAGGCAGCTGAGCTGGCTCAGGCAAGAATGTCCTTCTGTGGCTCCTGCAGCCTCCTGCCCAGCGCCATCCTGCCCCTCGAGCTGCCCCGGTGAGTGTGGGCAGAGACAGAGGCGCCCACTGCTCTCCAGGTGGAGGCCACGGCCACATGGGCGCGGGGCAGATTCAGATCTTCGCACAGGGGGCAGCGGGAGGTCTGGTGATCCTTACAGATGTTTTAAATGAGCCTTGGAGCCGGGGCACACAGCTGCTTCATCTTTCTAGAGAAGCTTCATCTTTCTACAGAAGCTTTCAGAATCTCCGCTAAGTTGTCCACTGATGCTTACTTGCAGTATGTTAATGAAAAACATTCCCATTTCCTTTGTGAAAGTTATTGTCATCTAGGATATGTTAAATGTGAAAAAGAATACTGAGCAGCTGGCAAAAGTCATAAACCATCGGGCTACGTATGAAGCACGGGGCGGGTCAGAAGCAAGGCTGAGCCTGCCACCTTGCCAGGCTGGGGCTTCAGGAGCCAGGCGAGTGAGGAAGGCGCAGGCCGCCGGGGACTGGAGCCCCCGTGCAGACGTCGGCCTGGCCTTGGGGAAGTTAAGCTGTGTCCAGCTGGACGAAGCGCACACTTTTGTCACAAAGAGTCACGGAACTGAAGGTCCAGGGTTGGGGCTCTGCGTGTCAGTGGCACATCTGCCCGTCTCCCATCTGGGCCTGAGCCGTGTTGATTGCCATCTTTGGGTCTCGAGGAGTATAAATGGTGATCCGAGTTGATGGAGGTCAGGGTTTTGGGATTGTGCAAAGAACGGGCTCATAGTAAGGAAGGGTGTGGGGGGCTGGGGTGTTGTTATTGTGGTTTTGAGAAGGGAAGTTTGCCCCCCGTGACCCCCAGATCTGTGCTCTCAGCGAGGAGATGGGTGCTGGGTGCACACACTGTGGGCCCTTTGGAAGGAAGCATGTGGGGCCGGCAGATTCTGCTGCGACAGGAAGGCCCCTCCCCCTGCCTCCAGGAAGGGAGATGTGTGCCCCGCAGGAGGGGGGCATCCCTCTAAGGGGCCTGCACAGGCCCGCAGTCCGGCTCAGTGGGCTGGGCAGGGTCAGGCCTGCAGAGAGAGGCTCCCTGAGTGCCTGAGTCCCGCAGGGAGACGGGAGCCAGGGCTCTAGCTCTGCATGCCCCTTTTCCTTTTTGAAACAGAGGGGGCCAGAAGCAGGGTTGTTTGTGTGGTTTAGTTTCCACTATAATGTTTTCTTTTTACTGTAGTAAAATATACATAACTTAAAATTTACCATTTTAAGTATTTCTAAGTGTACGGTTTAGTGGCGTTAAGTCAGCTCCCATATTTGTTTAACCTTTGTGACTATTTCCAGGACTTTTTCATCACCCCACACAGAAACTCTGTCCCGTTCAGCAGGTACCCCATCCCCTCTCCCAGCCCTTGCAACCTCTGTCCTACTTTCTGGCTCTGTGGATCTGCCTATTCTAGACACTTCATACAAGTAGAATGAAATGATGCAAATAATCCATAATCAATCTATAAATTAAAATTGGGTGAGCTTATGAGACAGATCTGAGGACTAGCCCGGGGCCTTCCTTCCCCAAGGAAGGAAGGGCACCAAAGAAGTGGGGTGTACAGAGTGGGTACATCTTGTCTTGGAACAAAGAGCATACATCACACATGATGGGAATGTCCCCTTTACAATTGTCATGAGATTACTTTGCTGGCACAACAGATCAGTGGTCAGCAGGTTGGTGGTCACAAGGTGAGTGCAGCAGGTCAGCAATTAATCCTTAGTTTAGGGAGAGATGCTTATCCT